TAAATATTCTACAAGAGCCCCTTTAAAAGCCCACGACCCCCATGGATACGAGGCGTGGAGAGAAAGTGAAAGAAATCACTGGGTAATGAAATCATCCAGTGAATATTCTTGGAAAGTTCTTGCTGCATACTGGAAGGTCAATGTGGAGATGAATAGACATTGATAACGTTGTTTTTTGTTGTTTTAGATTCAGTTAACTCGGGGGGGGGCAGTGACCTCTCGTTGTTACCCTCCCCCCCCGGCCTCGCTAAGTGACCTCTCGTTGTTAACCCCCCCCCCCGGCCTCGCTAAGTGACCTCTCGTTGTTAACCCCCCCCCCGGCCTCGCTAAGTGACCTCTCGTTGTTAACCCCCCCCCCCCGGCCTCGCTAAGTGACCTCTCGTTGTTACCCCCCCCCCGGCCTCGCTAAGTGACCTCTCGTTGTTACCCCCCCCTCCAGCCTCGCTAAGTGACCTCTCGTTGTTACCCCCCCCCCGGCCTCGCTAAGTAACCTCTCGTTGTTAACCCCCCCGGCCTCGCTAAGTGACCTCTCGTTGTTACCCCCCCCCCCCGGCCTCGCTAAGTGACCTCTCGTTGTTACCCCCCCCCCCGGCCTCGCTAAGTGACCTCTCGTTGTTATTCCCCCCCAGCCTCGCTAAGTGACCTCTCGTTGTTATCCCCCCCCCCGGCCTCGCTAAGTGACCTCTCGTTGTTATCTTCCCCCCCCCCCCCCTCGGCCTCGCCAACACCGCATGCTCTGGCGAGATAAAAAACGTAGCAATTGCACAAACTCATTTGCAAAACAATTACCATCAGCTGCAAAGTATTTGTAGCCGACTGCTCTTTTTGCACCATCCCAAATGAGTCATTAACAATTCCTCTGATGCCACGGAAAACAAATATTCTTTCGACAATTTCAAATTTAATTCTTACCAACAGAGCCCCAACTTCCTTCATTGTTATTAAAATGAAGGAAGGAATGAGTATTGACACAGTAAATTGGTTAGCTTTGTGCTGTGTTTAACCAGAGAACAACTGATGGAAGATGATGAAATGTATATTTAATATTGAGATAGAATACCAGGCTAATCGGGGGGGTCCCTCGATTGTTTCAAGCGCGGGTTGGACAAGTATATGAGTGGGATTGGGTGGTTATAGATAGGAGCTGCCTCGTATGGGCCAATAGGCCTTCTGCAGTTACCTTTGTTCTTATGTTATGTTGCCTGAAGGGTGTGCCTGGGCTAGAGGGGAGGGGGGGACTGGGGAATGTAGTCCAATATGGCCGAATATGAACATAATTTGAAAATAAAAAAAATGAAAATAAATTTGGGATTTATTTTTTTCAACAATAGTAAGTTAAGGGTCCTTTGATAGGTTAGGTGGGCAGGAAATTCTCATAAAGTTTCAAAACGGTATGAAAAACGTTAATGGAAAGTTTCCTCGTCTAAGCTTGTCGAATAAGCCAGACGACTCAAACAGAAAACGGAACAGTACGTCACTTTTGTGAGTCGATTTCATTTCAAATTACGTTCAAATTTGGCCATAGCGTGCATACGAGTCAAAAGTGACGTTATTTTTAAGACGACGGGTTGAGGAGACGGGTTGAGGAGTCATGTTATCTGTCTAAACGTCCGCAGGGTCCACCCGTCCGTCCGTCAATACGCCGTCCACTAAAGACAACATACAGTACACTGCTCTCGATAGAAGTCGCCAAGCCCGTCATTCTTATCTATTTCTTAGCGCACTCGGCTCCCAATCTATTGGTCCTAGGTTCCATTATCGGGGGAGCGAAACGTTTGGGCAGTCAACAATAACCACTATCATCATATTCCTAGACTTCAGTAACACTTTCGATATTATTCCACAGGAGAGAGGACTAGAGGCTGACGGTACTGCTGCGGGACATCTGAAATTTGATTATAGCAAAGTTATCGCAGACGAAACAAGGTTAGGCCGGCGTGATCAAAGTAGCCCAGTTGCACGCCCAGGGTTTAATTAAGGGATCATCTGGCTTGGACTTTATAGTGCGCCATCAACATAAATAACTTGATACAGAACAGATGAACAATCGAGAACGGTCAGGCAGAAACAGACGAGATGGGCGGGTAGACAGACAGACATAAGAACAAAGGCAACTGCAGAAGGCCTATTGGCCCATACGAGGCAGCTCCTATTTATAACCACCCAATCCCACTCATATACTTGTCCAACCCGCGCTTGAAACAATCGAGGGACCCCACCTCCAGCACGTTACGCGGTAATTGGTTCCACAAATCAACAACCCTGTTACTGAACCAGTATTTACCCAAGTCTTTTCTAACGTCTATTTAGTATTTACCCAAGTCAGACGGGCCAGTTACAAACAGGCGATCCAGCAGCTAACAGAGGAGTAGCTACAGACGAGCCAGGGAGACAAACAAGCGGGTCAGGTACCAACGGAAAGCTGGGGGGGGGGGGGACAGGTGCAGACAAACAGACGGTGGGGGGGGGAGGGGAGCACGGTACAGACAGACGGTAAGGGGGGGGAGCCGGGGATAGGCACAGCAGCCAAACAGACAGGCAAGTAGTTACCCCAAGCCTCGCACATAATAAACCAAACACAACTACCCATACACAATAACCCAAATAACTCCAGAATACCTAATAACGAAAGTGAACATCATAACAATGCTCAAAGTGCATCTGTTAGCAAACAACTTCAAAATGGATACTAACGGGGAAGAACATCTCCCTATACTACAATGGAATTGCAATGGCGTTCGCAATAGAATTAATGACATCATACAGTACGCCCGTGAACACCAAACTGACGTCATAGTGCTACAGGAGACGCTGGTGGGTGATGACTTCAACCCAAGGTTCAGCGGTTATCAGAAGTTCTCCCTTCCAGCTAGGGAAAGAAAACGGGGCCTCACTACCTTTGTAAGTAACAACATTCCCGCACAGATTATTGATGACCTGCATATGGGGGATGAGTATGAGTCACTGGGAGTAACTCTTCACTTAAACAATAATGCCCTACATATAAACAACCTATATGTGCCACAGAGTAAACTTGACCTTGACACACTGCCTGAATTTGTTAGTGAAGAACCTACCCTGCTGGTCGGTGACCTTAATGCCAGGTATCCACACTTTGGTGCCAACTGTCATCAGCCCAATGTCAATGGACGGAAGCTGTCACTCTTTGTCAGGGGAAGTGAAAACCTTGAGTCCTGGGTGATGAACAGCCAACTCACCTCAGAGGAGGAAGACTAGACTATGCTCTCCTGCTGAATGCACAGGACACGGATGCCAGTACACACATTGTGCACAGTTTATGTAGTGACCATTGGGCACTAATTACCACCGTCGACATGAGCAAGGGAGAAAGAAAGAGACAAATAAAAGAAAAAGGTTATCACTCGGACCAGATATAAGGCCGCACTTCATAAACAGGATGAGTGACTGGTTCACGGAATACCAAATCCCAGAAGACATTGATACAGTGCTTTATCTTAGCACTGTATCCTGTGCTACCCAATCCCCCAATATTTGTACCTAAGCCATATTACTTTACAATGGTAATCTTAGATATCATTTGATATCATGGTTGTTGTATTGAGTACATATTCTACTGCATTATTCCTTGAAATGAGCCTCATATTGTGCTTCAGTGAACCAATATATAACCCTAAAATGTTATCCTCGTGTACCTAGTAATCCTTGTTCATTATTGTGTATTGTTATTATTGTGTATTATTCTAATCTGCTTTTGTCAAAATTTCTTCAATGTACCTGTAAAAAATTTTTGTCAATTTTACTGTCAAATTACCTAAAAATTATCTGTTAGTTTAAGGACTTGCCCGAAACGCTATGCGTGCTAGTGGCTTTACAAGAATGTAAATTCAACTTAATTTCTATGTTCTCTGTTAACCCCCAGTGTACCTTCTTGTATATAAATAAATAAATAACATGTTCCTACTATGGTCTGGTGGGCTTCCCGGGGCGGCCACCGTCAACATATGGTTCCCGGTCGACGCCAGCGCGGAGCCTGCCTATACCAACATCAGCGGTATCTTTATCCTGCCCACTAATAATATGTTTTTTACAGTTATGAAATCAAATGTCTTAAGATTTCCAATATAAAACTGCCGTAAGAGTCTGGCACATCAGTACACGTCTAGGCGTGCCATCCACCATATGGAACTGTTGTATATACCCGACATATCAGTTGTATCCCCAACATATATACCCAACATCAACCGTAGCCCCAGCATATATACCTGACAACCATAAAGAATTGTTAGGTCATTATACACAGTCTTTCAGCAGTGTTTCCCTTCCATACAATAGCAATTTAAAATAAAGAAAAACATATGTTCCACGAATCCCAGGTCCTGAATATGTCCCATAAATTGGAACATTCAGGGATAAGGGATTGAATTACATTCCATATACATATAACCTCATCCTACCCAACAGTTTATCACTGTGTGTATGTTTTATCCATCAATCTCGTCAGTAATAATTGGGTATTATAATAATTAGTTTTTTATCTCGTACAGTAAAGGGTCGCGATTACTGTTATTTTTGTAGTTACAGTGGTGGTGACTTTACAAAATAAATCTTACTGTATAAGTGTGGTTTCGCGAGATTGAGTTTTTTTTTTACTTAGAAGTAATTTTCATATAATGTGCTTTATTAACTGGATGACACGTGAACAAGTATCGTTCACTTTTAATCTATCTGACCTGGATCTCACGGCTTGAAATTCTACCTCGCTCGTTGAGTATCTCTCTCTCTTATGATTCTGGGAGAACCGTTGACAAGCCGCCGGCGTCCTGTCCTCGTCGAGGCACGTAGTGTTAGTAGCCCTCGGGTAGATTCAAGTATTTAAAACTGGCCAAAATTTACCAAAGTGTTATTGGTGGAATGGTAAAACAAAGTTATCCAAACACTTTGGATAATTTCCCGAGGGATGTCAACAAACGGATCTACTGCCAACTTTTCCTAGACAGTGGAAAGGAACATTTATTTACCTTTTGTAGAGTTGCCATTGACGTCTCCCATGTCGAGAGCCTCCATGCCCAGGTGGCCGCCCGTGTCCTGGCCCTCCCCGGCGACGCCTACAGGCAGGTGCTCCCTCGTCGCCTCGCTGCCCGGTACCTCTTCACCTGAGGCCATAACTGACTCTTCCATCACTCTAACCTCGCTGGCTGCCCTGTCAAGCGCAACTTCTCAAGCATGCTGGAGCGCCTCCACGACTGCCTCAGTCCCTCCTGGCATCATGCCGTTCTCTTGTGAAGTTTCACTCGGGTTTTCTGTGTCCAGATGTCAACATGAGTGCACTCGAGCTTTGCTAAAACAAAACTTTCCCCCAGCTGTCTCTGATCTCATAAATGTCACGCGATAGGTTTACTACACTTGGTTATAATAATCACTGAAGAAACGCGAGACTTAAGAGACGAGGCACTAAAGCAAGTAGAAAGTAACAATAGAGAGAGCAGAGGAGCGCCAGCAGCCGTCCTCCCCCAGCGTGCACCACCAGCTGACTCCACCACTGGCCGGGGAGCCAGGCGGGGCTATTTGCACATGCCAGATTATACATCGCTTCAATAACTTTTACCCATATTCCACGTAATAATTACCCACCATAACTCTAAAGTCATTTAGATACAAAAATATGTATGGTATCTTTGATGTCCACAATGGGGAAACTACTAGAAGATACTTTTCTTATGAGAATTAATGGGTTTCCTGTTATTCGTAAGGTAGTAACCCCACCATTCAGGTGAGCTGTGAGCAGCGCATCCATCAGTCACTCCCCCGGGTGCCGGCGCTGGCACCTGGCCCTGCTGCAGGGCCAGGTGACATGCTGCAGGGCACCCTTGACCCTTAGGCGTAGACCTACCTCAGGGGTGCAGGTGACCCCTTGGGCATAGGCCTACATGCAGCAGGGTACATATGACCCCTTGAGCGAAGGCTTACATGTAGCAGAGCACACCTGACCCTTAGGTACGGGCCTGCATTTGGGTACAGATGACCCCTTGGCGTAGGCGCACATCCAGATATGATCCATGGACGTAAACCTAGAGAAGGATTGTATTGCCGGATTGTAATATTGCCGGAACAACCGTGGACATCTTCAAGAGGAAACTAGATTAGAAACAAGGGATAGCCATCATAACAGCAAAACTTGTTGGAACCACCGCCAGACTGTCAATCAAAGACAGTATATAAAGATCGCTTCAGAGAAACCTTCAATATGGAACAAGTGCATAGACGAATAATCTGGTCAGGATTCTAGAGAAAGAACATTGAAATGGACCATTAAAAACAAAGGGGAAGATAGACCATATCAACACTTTCGGCAGCCTCCTCCATGGGAAGAATCGAGTCTAAAGATAATCATTGAAGGATTACCAGTTAAAAAATCAGCATGTGACTCGCAGAGGCTCAAAGCAGTCATAGAACAAATGGAAACCATCTCAAGACCTACAACGAACCACATCTTCACAAACGGATCAGTTGATCAAGAAAGAGGTTCTGCTGGGGCAGCAGTTTACACTACCAACCATGAAGCTTACTGGAGCATGAATAGTGGGTGCTCAACATTGCAAACAGAATTATATGCCCTGAAGGAGCCCATAAATTATACAATTGAGAATAATTTACATGATGTCATCATTCATACAGACTCTAAATCTTCGCTCCAGGCATTGCTATTCAGTCATCACAGAGATAATATACAACTCATCACAGAAATTCAACATATAGGAAAAGAAGCCCATAATCTAGGGCTGTCAATCACCCTAAATTGGATACCAAGTCACATTTGGCATAGATGGTAATGAAAAGCAGCTGCTGATGTAGACCTGACCAAATGTAAACTGTGTCAACAAAACTATTCGCACACCCTCCGTCACTATGTGATGGAGTGCGAAAAGATACGTGAATTTAGAGACAATTCTATAACCAATGTTCCAGCGATGTGTCAATATTTCATTCAAAATGATCTGCTACCAGAAATTTTAGCCAAATATCCCCAGTTTGCTAACTGTAGGTAGTAACTAAGTGATTGTAACCTATCCACCGCTTCCCACTGGATGGGGGGCGGTGTGCAGGACAAACATATAACTTGTGACACTAGCTCTCCACATATGTCAGTTGCTTAATTTAGAACCTGTACTTGAGGTCGATCTCGAACCCATTGTTGATGTGATGACTTGTATTGAATTTTGTAACTAGCTCATCAAGATTGTAACTTGCTTAGCTAAATGAATTGTGGGGTTCAGTCCCTGAGCCCATTATGTGCCTCTGTAACCCTTTCCACTACCGCCCACAAGATGGGTATGGGGTGCATAATACATGAACTAAACTAAACTAACTAACTGGTAATGAAAAGGCAAACTCACTAGCAAAAAATGCCACTGCTCTACCTGTTGTACAGGCTCAAATACCTCACAGACTAAGTTTTTCACAGACTAAGGAGCAATTCAAGAAGAAAATACTCCCAACTATCAAAAGTCGCCACAGAGCCAAAGTAGCGGAAGGAAGATCCACTGCGATATGGTACGAACAAGCCACTGGGTACTTCTCTTTCAAGCCTGGCAAAAAGATATCCAGAGACATTGCAGTAGCCATACACAGACTCAGACTTGGTTACAAGTGCTGTTGGGAGGTAATAAACCCAATAGTTTGAGTGTCATATCTGTGGAACAGAAGCAGAGGCGCCACTATTGCACTACTTACTGGAATGTGAAGCTACTGAAGTCCTGCGCATCAAACTCAACATTAATCTAACGACAGCAGCTGCATTAGATGCACATTGCACAGCGACTACAATGATTAGAAAAGCCGTTGAGGAATGGGACTCACTAGTGAGCATTCGGCATCTACATCCGCCACCAAGATAACGTTATTAAAACAAGATTAAAACCAGTGTACTAAAACGGAAGCGAAAAAGAAACAGGGGAAAAGGAGGAATCCCCACCTCCATTGAAAACTTTGACCCAAATATCACAGTAACAATTTTATCGCGAAAAAACGAACTCACCATAGCCCGTGTTACATAGACATTTCGTTCTGAGTTGCTAAATCTAAAACAACAACACGAACAGGCTTTCATCTTCATTCTACTTTGCTCTGATGAAGGCGAATTAGCTGAAAACGCGTTAAGAACTCTCGTTAGTTAAATAAATAAATATATATATATATATATATATATATATATATATATATATATATATATATATATATATATATATATATATATATATATATATATATATATATATATATATATATATATATATATATATATTTTGTGACGATAATCTCTTTCAAGGGAGACTGAGCCTGCTCTTCCCTCCAAAGTACGTCACCTCAACAGATAATATAGAAGATATATCCAACAAGTATCTCCAAAACGTTTTACCCAGAGAGCAAAACGTATCCAGCACCGGCGCACCTGCTCGCCCCCGCCACCGTTAACCAGCAAACTGCTTGTCCATCGCCTGCCTGTCGCTGATTGGCTAGTGCCCAGTCGCACCTGCCCCACCACCCTCCTCCACAAGTTGATGTCTGGGCTACAGCGACCTAGAGAAGGCAGAATATCTCAGTGCTCCACACAGTTGACACGTCTCATTGGTAGACTAAGCCTTGGCTTACGTGTACTAAGGGAGGTGGCAGCTTGAAGCCAATATTCCTGCACTATTATTTACTTTGCTATTATTCACTTGTCTTAACGTAACTTTTCATTTGCCAGTGATTATTCTTATTATTTTGTTTGTTGATTTGTCTGTTACATTTTTATGCTCAATTTTATTCATGTCTTGCTTTTCTAACGTAATTAAAATTTCATTGTTAAATTTACTTGTGTTTTGTGTGTCTTCCCATTACCTTACCACAGACGAAAGTTCCAGCTTTTCTCTTTTTTTTTTCTTTATGTGACGAGGCCATGCCCCTAGCTTTTGAAACAGCCGAACACCAACGCGTTACCGTCACAATATATATATATAGTTAGCTTTTTGATGGCGAAATTTGAATTTTCTTGTTGTTGGTAGATACATTACGAATGGGTGTGTTGTGTTCACAACACACCCATTCATAACAGGAAATGTATATGTTTATCTCTCAGAATGTTCGGTAATATGTTTATTGTTTGTGATGTGTGTCTATGTATGTATTAACACGATGTACTGAACGGGGTGAGAATAGCTTGAGCTACCTCATCCCTTTGTGTGTATTTTACCTCAATAACCTTATTTCAATTTCAATTTTAACCCATTCATAACGTATTTGAGAATCTTGTTGCGTCGTCACAAGTGTCGGTGAGAATCGCCATTAGGGAGGTGGTGGTTGCCTGCTTGACTGAGTGAACATCCAGTTAGAACCGATATTCCCTCCAGAACCACGCACGAGGCGTCATTTTCAGGCAAGTTGATTTGTTTTTGTACTGAGGCTGGTGTTTTCTTCCCTGATTTAATGTATGACTAATCATCCTGTGAGATGGGAATATTAGATGAATTCATAATAATAATAATAATAATAATTTTTATTTAGGCAAAGGTACATACATAAAGAGATTTTACAAAGTTTGTTGGCTTTATAGATAGGAGCTAGTACATACAATGCCTAAAGCCACTATTACGCAAAGCGTTTCGGGCAGGCCAGATTTTCATGGCCAGATTTTGATTTACACTGTGTAATCTTTCATATAAAATAGGGTAGCAGCACATTGCTGTGAATACCTAAGCTTGCTAAAAATAATCACATCGGGAGTAATGCCTGAGGGGTAGAAATAGCCTAAGCTACTCTATCCCTTTGAGATGTATTTTTTTTTCTTGTCTCAATAAACTTACTTGAACTTGGGAGGAATGGGGGATGGAAGAGGAACGGGTAAGAGAAGTAGGATGATTTTGAATGTGGAAATGGGGCGGAAGGGAAAGGGAGGCAGATGTGGGAGAGGAGGACTGAGGGAAGGGGGGAAAGAGAAGGGAAAGGGAGGGAAGGATGTAAGGGGAAAGAAGGAAGAAGAGAGGAGGGGGAAATGAAGGAGGTGGGTAAGAAGAGAGGATATGGGGACAGGGAGGACGAGTGGGGGCTCAGAATACACACCAGAGAGCAATGGCAGGAGTCCCGGTGCACTAGATAACTGTTATCGTGGTCCAGATAATCTTGACGTTGCTATCTCTGCACTCACTGCCAGCCGCTGTCCCCAGGAACCTGCACGCACACACACCCATACACATATAATAGTGCACACATGAGCATATATCCAAACGTTGTATATATATATATGCATACATACGCTTGTATGAATATATATCACATACATGTAGATGTCGACATGTATTACAAACTGAAAGTGGTGGTGACTTGCTATTGAGTTATTATTTATTATTATTATAACTGTTTATTACTTCTTGACCTGTTAAGTGAGAGAAATACTGCATTTTACAATAGAAAAACTCTCACTTAACAACTGTGTACTCGTCAAGGTCACCATTAACGGCTTCATGGCCGCGAGAATTCTCCAAGACAATTGTCATT